GAACCAAACTTTACAGATACACTTCAGAAGGGAGGAGGAGGGGGGGGGGGGAGGTGTCGTAGGCTACTTCCTACGTTATCGATCGATACCGATTCTATCGATTTCTTGCAAAGTTCACCTACGACGCTGGGAGTTGGCAAAGGGATAAGTGAGCGTGCTGATTACGAAAATATTATTGACAGAGCCGGGCGGAGCCGGATTTGCCAACTAGTTTACTATAATGTTCCCGACTTGACTTCACCAGATATTCGCGCTTCTTTAGCTCTAAAGTGCTGATTGAGGCTCCCGCCAGAGTGCCGAAGCCGAACCTGCGCCGAGCTAGCGCCAAGCTGTCCCGGCGCTGTCGATCGATACGCGTGCATTTCGTTCGTGGCGGGGCTAGCTGATCCTCTGCCGGCAAAGCGCTACCGGAGTTTCTGACAGACGATCAATAGGCGCATTTACCTGGCTGGAAGCCAGGTCAATTAGCCCTGCCCCGAACGAAATGCACGTGTATCGATCGAAACAGTGCCGGGACAGCTCGGCGCTGGTGTGGCTTCGGCACTCTGGCCGGAGTCAGAGACACTATTTGCAGTTGAAACACATCGAATTTGAATCTACTTTTAGATGGGTTTTTCTGGAGCGAAAATGAGACTGTTCTGCCCATATGAGGTGAGCAAAAAACATTTCTTTTTTTACAAGCAAACCTCAGGAAATCAATCTAACACTTTATCATAATGAGCGATACGCCCAAGCCTATGAAAATTTTTGCTTGTTTTTTTTTCTGAAAACTTGGCATTTAAGCTAAAAATTTTTTTCGCCTCTAATGCTGCTTGATCGCGTCAACAGAGGAAAAAAAGAGGGTGGGGAAAATTTCCGGTAGTTCCATTGCTTGAGGGTAATCGAGCAGGGACAAGGCAATAATGATCACATGATCCTGCGGACTGTGTATAAATCTCTACTGCTGCTTATCAAATCTGATTTGGTGTAGCGTACCTGCAGAATATCATGTCTTGGGTGAAGACTTGACATAAATTTCTGGAAAACGATATAGTCAAAACTACAGAAAAAACAGTAGAAGCAGGCTTGGCACAGGCGGCTCACAGAGCAAGCTGGATGTCTTTGTGGAAATAAAAAACAAAGGGATTTCTGTTGGGTTCGGAGCGAAATCCGAAAAATGCGTGTATCAGCTTATTATGGTGTACTAGAATAATCATTGTTTTTTGTGCAAAATCAAAATAACGGAAGTGATGAAAATTTCTTTAGAAGCTTCTGATCACTCAAGGCAACCTAGAATTGGATCTTCATATATAATTAAACAAGAAAAAAACTTCAACGAGTTAGCCAATTCCATGCCCTTAGTCCAACAAACTTTCGCAGCCCTCTACCCCCCTCCCCCTTCAAAACGAAACTTATTCTATCCATTGTCACATGAGTCTTAAAGGCAGCGGTCCATTCAGAATCTTGACTTCTACTTTTTTGCTTTGTCCAGACCTTTTCATGGTGCTGATTTCAAGTGACTCAAAATACGTTAACTCCTCAAAAAACCGTTTCTGAGACAATTTTGTAAGGACCGTGCACGAATGCTCCTAATGCTATCCTTGTCGAAATCAAACATTAGCAGATAGACACTTTATGTTCGATTATGTTTGCCACGTAAAAACACGTTAAAGGCTGGGGAGAGTCATGTAAAAAGGCGGACCGTGCGAGGGAGTGGGCTTGATCACCGAAGCTCGGACTTTTCCGCTCTGATTTTCTACATTTGTAGGGGGTGTTCGAAACTCGGATTTGCGCGATAGTCCCAGATCGAGGCTGTAGTATTGTTATGATAGTACCAAAATGTCCCAATCTGCCCGGACGCTACCTTTAAGGACCGGACATATATCACGCGATTTCATCGCCTTGCAATTCTCACGACAAGGCAGCTGTTACGAGTTTAAAGATTGTTAAGCTTCTTCATTAACTGCTAATGTTCCGGCGCTTTCGCCTTCTCTAGAGCCTGGAATTCTTGGAAGTTAGCCAAGACTGTGTCACCGAGTCTTGATGTAACATCGTTGTATACGAATGTATCAAATGACACAGAACTTCAAGCTACCTGCGAGTTACTCTGTGAGCACTAATCCTTGCTCCATTTGCATGGGTCAGTATCCACGGTATAATGAACCTTCTTTACGAATGCTTACAACGTACAGTTTTCCGATGGTCAGGGACAGCAATCCGCTCCTAGTCTAGCCATTATTTTCATGTTCAAAATAGAAGCGCCAGTGCTTGAACGTAAAACCCTGCTTTATGGCTGGTATATCGATGACTGTTGCGTTGTATGTCCCACGCAAGCCGAAGTAGACATCTGCTCAAACATCCGCAATCAAAAGTCGCCTAACATCGCATGTACCAGGTAAAAACCCATGGAAGAGGGGCTGGCGATTCTGAAAGCGCAGAATCATATTAGGGGTGGGATATATAAAACCAAATGGTATCGTAGACCGGTATAAAAACATTGTGATTCACTCTCTATCTGCACATTTAAGCAGTATGAAAGGATCTATTGTACTTAACATGCGTAAAACAGCTCTACGGTTATCCTCTGGCAGCGACGAAGCTCATATTTCAGCGCCTTAGCTCGAGGAATTGCGGTGTTCAACGGCTATACTGTGCATGAGCACGTCTTTGGAGCCCGCGGGTCACGTCGGGGTAAAGCTCCAATCGAGTACTGCTGAGATCCCGCTCTGCCTGCCGTTCATCTCCGATGGGTTGAGCAGTGCAGTGAGGCGATGCGTACAACATGTGAATATGCAAGGCGTGATAAGAGTGGTCGATATCCCTCCAGCTAATCTCAAACGGCAATTTCGGAAACCGCTTGTGATCGTATTTGTGTGGTCTGCCCATTTGGTAAAAAAAATAATTGTACGCAGTCCGGGGTCATTTATTTTATAACATGCCTTGTATGAGGAGACGCACAAATTGGCGAAACAGGGCGCGCGCTTTGTTGTCGCGTAAGCATGTAGATGGAATGGAAAAGTTAAGAGCAGCTACGCAGTTAGAATACACCGTAGAGTGCGTAACGATTCTAAGGTACAAATTGCAGTAGGAGTCTTGTCATATAAATCCGAGATCCTCGCCAGCAAAACGTTGGAGGCGTTTTGGATTGATGCCAAAAATAAAAAATTAAATAGAAAGAAAGAATGTATCGCCATCACGCAGGAACGCGCGCCTTATCAGTCCCTATGCGGATTTGAATATGAGTCAGGTCACCACGGCACACAGGAGCTGAGGCGTAGTCTTGTATATAGGTGGTTTTCTGACTTCCGCTTTGTGTTATTTGAGGCGAATATTGTCCTCGTACTTCTGGCGATGTTTCGCGTTAGCTTTCTCTCGAAAAATATTCTGAGGGTTTTCCTGTCGTGTGAAGGAATGGGTTGCTTATAAGTTCCCGAGGCTCTGAAGAAGACGAAAGTGCCGATGTTAGCCGTCAGTAAAGAACTGTTAACAATCTTGGAATGACGCTCACACAACTATCACAAGAGCTCGTAGCAGTTGTCTTGTTGAATGAGCAAGGTAATGAAATCACGTGATGTATGCCCGGCCCTTTACACATGCATACTATCAACTTATCCTTCCTCCCCTTCCATTTCTCTCTCTCCCCCCGCCCCCTCCTCATAACACCCCTCCCACTTTTTTATTCCATCACCTCATTTTATGAAGACGTGGCAAGTGCTCATAGCAGTTTCTACAAAACCAACAATTTCCCGCTAAAATATGCTCTTCTTAGAAGCAATGGAATTCAAAAATGTGCACTGAAATAAAGATAGGGCTTGTTTACAATGAAGAGGAAATGATATGACATCAAAGCGGTTTGTAGATATGCAATACATTTATGAAATTAAAATCATCTGTAGAGCATATATTCCCTTCCTTCACATAATTTTTCCATAAACTTTGCATAACTTCAATCTACATCAAAAACCCTACAGATGAGTTTTACATTATCCTCAAATCACCTCCTCCTCGTTTAGTTGCAGCCCTCCAATTTTTGTATGGCAACGGCAATCCTGCTCGTTGGTGCTTGCCGGACATAGCATGCCGCCAATTCGGAGATACGAATGTCCTGGTTTTTCCATCGTCTACTCGATGTTGTTATTGTAATCATTGCATTGTTCCTCGTTGTTTATGTTTGTTATATTCATTAGCTTGTCATAGGAGATGCCGTATTTATGTGGCGTAGTCTATGGGACTTCGCTCCCAAGAAATTAAGAAAGCTACCTCATGACAGCCCCAGAGAGAAATAGTCTGAATTTCTTGAGATCCAGATATTGTAGCACATATTCGAAATTTTGGAGATTTACCGAGTGTTTGTCAAGTGTGTTTCTTTTCGCAAAATAATGAAATTTTTACAAATTTCCTAAGCAGTTCTGACAGTTTTTTCTATTTTCCAACAAGCTTTTAACCGGATTTTTTTTTGATCATTTTACTCCACTAGATATTAAGAAAGGTATGTTTCATCATGCCTCTCAACTGTTTTCGCGAAGTTTGATGAAAGACTTCCCCAATATGTGTTATTTGAAATATGTTCTATGAACTTCTTTCTCGTTGCTCTTGGTGATTATGAGAGGCTTTGCTCAGCCATTTAATTTGCTTTCGTCACTATGTGCAGCTTCTTTATTCGGATGGGATGAATAATTCGAGCAAAGAGCAATTTTTGCAAAGATAAATGTGTTGGAGAAATAAAATTCAAAATATTATAAATGGGCTAATTCTTTGACGAAATAAACAGTTTGTTCAAAATTACCGCAATTATTATTTAAAGCTAAAAAAAATAAGTGATTAGATTCAAAATCTTGCAAATAAAAAAGTTTAAATATTTGTCTCTGTTTGATCCCTCTTTTTGATAGAGAATTAAAAGGAAATATCGTTATCAAAATAGCCGTTCCAACAAGCTTTCCAACAAGCGACCTCGAAATTTTTTCTCTATTCGGATTAGGAAACTGGTAGAAATTTATCTGCCTTTTTTGAATCGAACTCACCCCAAAGAATCCTTCATTGAGATGTTTCGAAGTGTTATGTATAAGTCGAGGTTGACGATCCAATCGTATTGCATTGTTGTTTCGATCCAATGATATTCCTGAATATAGAAAAAATGATAGCCACGATAATTAAAGAAAGTATGGTATATTTTAGCTGCATATGGATAACACATCTATACAGAAATTTCATCTCCATTTGATTTCTTCTTTTGATGGAGAACCAAGAAGAGATAATAAAATAGCCATCTCAACAACTCTGTTCGAATTTGTGAATCACTTATCTTCGTTTCAAGCGAATTTTTTTAAACAATATGATTCCAAGTTATCTCTCTCTATCCCGAAAACAAAAACTATAGCTGTGTGGCTATTTAATCTCTAGCCAATAGACTAGGTCGCGTGCAAAAAAGCAATTTTTACAATCCATTTCGTCACATTAGTCGCGGCTTCTGATTTTGGGTTAGTCGACGTAATTTGCTGGACAATATGGAATAGGTGCAATTATGCGCTGACCGAGCGTTTTGGTGTGTCACCTGCTGGGACAGCTTTTTCTCTCCAGTTTAGAAGGACTTTTTGTTTCAGAAATGTTTTGAAAAAATAGAATATGGGGACCTAAAAAGAACTCTGTTTACTGGAACATTTTATAGTCTTTGAAATTTCATAAGGTTCGGACATTTAAAACGCCCTATTATTTTCCCCTTTCTGCGCGGTATTGAGCTTTGCAGGAGGGGTCGAAAAAATTTTTATTGCCCCTATAACTTGGGACCACTGTGATAAATAGCTTGAGTAGAAGAAAAAACAACAATAACAATTGCAGCCAACATTTCTGCTAATTTTGTAGAGATGCTTAGCGCCAAGGCTTTTTTGAAACGGAAAAGGAAAGTTGAGGATTGGAAGATTCACAAGATTTGATAGAGTTCATCACAGCTGCAACCAGTTATGTTTTCACACATTCTGTTTGTTGCAGAAATCTAATTGCAAAAAGCGAATGTAGAGAGCACAAAAACAGTACTTCCTTATTCTGTTTAGCATAGGAAGCTATGCAAATAAGTCTAAAGAACATATGAGCGGGAAAAAAATTAGTTTTTTTTATATAGGAGCAAAGAGTAGAATGGAAAAGGGAGGGGGGGGACAGGGGAGGTGGCGGAGAGAAGGAGTCTCGAGAATTCGGAGACTTGCAGATGCAGTCACTAAAAGGTGTGATTTAAATAAGTAGTTGTAGTGAAAATCATCCAGCAAACGCATTTTTGTTAGTTTAATATCACTTCTGATAGCCAAAATTTTTTTTCGAAAATTTGCTATCACGAAACAGATTTTTTTGTATTACAAACTAAACTATAGACGCTTTTATGTATATCCATACTTACATTTGTAATGCCCTTGAATATTTCGTTCTTTCACGAAAATAACCCATTTAAACAAACCATTTGTCAAAAAACGCATGATAAATAATGTTTACTGTGTTCTTCAGCCAAATTTACCTTATTTTCCCCCAATACAACCTCTCTATAGCAACACAAAAACGTCAGGTTCCGGCGAGATTCGAACTCGCGTTACTGGATTCAAAGTCCAGGGTGTTAACCGCTACACTACGGAACCACATAGGCTGTTCATCGTCAGCACCACTGAAGTGCAAGCGCACTTCGCGCTTCGCTAATTCTTTTGCTTCAGTTATGATACATCGATATCGATTAACATCGGTTGTTGACTGTACCACAGATTTGTGATCAAAAAATCAATGATTTTTCTTAAATCTTTTGCACAAATGACTCCCTTTTCAAGTTATTGTTTTCTGTTATTTACTTTGCGACAATTTCATTTCCTAACTCATATGACACTAGCAAAAATGGCAAAAAATGTTTAGTAAAACGTTAAGAATTCACTGAGACACTGTTGGAATCCAAAGCAAATCATCGAGAACCTAGAGCAAAATAAATATAATAGAATCTACCGACGTATAGTGCAACAGCCCAATTTCGCTGCTATAATTGTTGCACTTTTAGGCAAAAAACCCATGACAGCCGAGTCTGAAAGCGAGGGATGATAAGAGTAGTTTTTTATATGGATGATATGGATGATAGAAAACAAGATTGCCTGAAAAGTTTTTTTTGCAGAATTAGGGGATTTTTCTGAGCATTTGATCATGTTTCTAACTCACTAGAAGAAAAGAGAAGATATACAGCACTTTAAGACGCCAAAGTGTTCCAGAGATTTCTCAATGTTTTATCAAACTGGCAGTTGTGCTGTCATGGAAGTTAGGCAATGAAGTTGTCGCAATGTAACAGAAAGTAACATTAGAAGAATCATATGTGGAAAAGGTATAGAAAAGATACTCATTGATTTCTTGACCGCAAATCTATGGTACAGTTAACAGTCAGAAAAGCAGAGAGAAAATGGCAGGTAAGGAAATTGTCAATCGATTCTCAGTAAATCTCAGTATAAAAAGTGATTTTGTTCTTTTCAAGCAAAAGAGAGTTGCTTCCAATTTTAGTACCTTCCCCAGGTATCAGCAAAATCTAGTTTTCGTTAAATTCAAGTAATTTTACTTTGTCTGAATGTCAAATTCTCTAAATAATCGAGTAAATCACTAGACTGCTCCCCCCCCCCCCACTAAGTTAACTTTAATGAATTACCAATAGAACTGATTGTGAGAAGAATTCGAATTTTCGAAGTGTACTAAAGCGAAATAATTTTGAAAAGAAAATAAATAATTGGCTAGTAAGCACATGCTAACTTTTTCGAGAGTTTTGCTTTCACATGATTTGCACCCGTGCCAGCTCTCTCCATGCCACACTCTTGCAGGAAAACCGGAAGAGACTTTAGCCTTTATGAAAACCTATGCAAGTGAATATAATGACAAACCCGTCGTGCACTTGAAAAGTAATTGCTCGCGAAGAGCGCTCGCTTGCAGCAGAGAAAACCAGCAAGGATATATTAGGTTGGAAAGGAAAGAATGTCGTTTTTTATAGCAAAGCAACAAGACGAGTTCAAAAAATATGAGAGGTACCATTCGATAGAAGTGAGATTCACAAGATAACCTTTGAACGTTTGTGTGAGTCGTGATTTACGCAAAGTTTCAAGCCAAAACATAAGAGCAACCCAAAGTTGCCAAAAATCGGATTTCCGGCAGAAAAATTCTTCAAACCTGCCACTTGCTCCTGCATACAACAGAACATGTAGTTATTCTAATTTACCCTTGGTATATTATTTCATGTTTAGTCAAGAAAAACTTAACAACAAAAAATGGCTAACTCTGCCTCAGTGCCCCAGTAGTCTTGGGTTTCTACCATAAATAGATTTCCAAAAAAGAAAGTAGAGAAAGCGTCTTGAATTCTCCGTTAATTTCTGAAAATAGCCTTTTCTGCTAAAAATAAGCAAGAAAGGAAAAAGAGATAAACCTGAGTGCTCGCATTGTATGAACGAAATTTTCACATGTTTCCTTAGTGTACTGCTTAGGTCTGAAACCCGATAAAAATAGTACATTAGATCCTTCAAAATTCACTTCTCTATTCAGCTTAATGAGTTTTACAACTTACCATTTTTTCCGCTACTTAGTGAGCTGAAAAGGTTATCAAGACTGATAGAGTGTGTTTAATCAGCGTAGACGTGACGACCTCCTAATCAATGAGAGCTCCCAATGTTTCGAAGTGTTCAAAGTTATCATACTATAGCTGTAGGAGGAAGATCTTTGCCAAGGGAATTCTCCATGGGCTCAAAATTTTGAGTGCGATTTTTTACTGTAATATGTCGCGAAGCACGGAAATATTCTAGCAGAGGCAGTTTGAATTTTTTTTCAACAGAAAATTACCGATGCATTAGTGAGGTTTGAGGTCAGGAGAGCGTGAAATTGTTTGGCTAAACGAAAAACTTTTTCCTAAATTTATGTCAAAATTGTTTCATTTACTAACATCAATAGTAGGAAAGTGTATCATTGTAAGTGACTATTTGACTGAAATAGGAATTTTTTTCACTGACAATCTATTCATAGAGAATCGAAACTATTTTGTTGAAGTCTTAGTTTATTAAGCTTTGAATTTGAATTATTTATTCATTCAAAACTATTGTTTACCAAAACATAATATTGATATTATCTTCCCATGTTTGTAAGCGTAGAGGAAATGGAAGAACTGAAAATGATCAAAAAGGTAAAGCCTCATTACTAAAATTATTATATGTGACGAAATTCCAAAACTAGTTGAACAATCTGAGTACATAGACTCATTTGTCGATTCTCTTTTACCGAATTCAAAATTATTACTACTTTTCATGACGGAAACTTGAAGAATGGCTGAAAGGGTAGAAAGTCAAACCAACAGGAATTATAAGCACCGTTATATGACTGCACCATTTTTCCTGATATAGTCGAGATTTGTTTGGAAAATTCAAAAGCGAGCCAAGCTTAAGTCTAGCTTATTTGTAAGAAGTGTACTAACAACTCATTCATATAAAGTTGCGGAAGACCTAAAGGAGTCAAAACTACAAAATTTGAGCATTAGCTATAGCTATATTCGATTATAGTAATACCCCTGACACCAATGCAAATCCACCAATTGCGGGAGTTTTTCCAAAAAACTTTTGAAACCAAACCAAAAATGTAATGTTTTTCTGGATCTGAATAAAAGACTTAGAGGAGCCGAAGCTATGGAGTAAGCATTATAGCTACTTCCATGATACAAATGCGATTTTTTCATGTTTTGGCTGGATTTTCTACAAAAAAATCTAAAACCGAGCCAAAATGGCTTCATTATTTGCACCCACCTGCTCTCTGCGGACGAGTTGGCAGTTTTGACAATGAGCTCGACCGAGTTCGCATCGTGACGTCGACTGGAACAAGGTGAAATGTGCCGTGGCAAGCGCCCGACGACCAACCACTCGCTATTGCACTAGAGGCGTGGCTTCTCAGCTGCCGAAATGACCGCTCCCACCCCCCCCCCCTCTCTCGCTCTCTCCCTCCCCTCCCAGCTCGCTCACCTCGGTCAACTTCTCGAATTTTTCAGAACCTATTTTCATAACCAAACCGGCAAAACAAATTGTTGCACCGCAACATCTACGATATTTGTTTGCTCAGAGTGGAATAGTTAACTAGTTTTCGGCTGGAGGGGAGGCTATAATTAGCTGTAAACTTGCTAAACGGCTAACAATCATCCCTTTCACACCAGTAGAGAATTTTTATTGCTGCGATGCTTCAAGGATCGTGAATATCTACCAGGAGCGGATACTTTATATTGTGTTGAAACTTAAGCTTCGCCACACTTAAAGGAAAAATTATTATAAATTTCTGAAAAGTTTTTTCTCATCCCCAAATTTTGTGAAAGTTTTGTAACTTTGTGGTATATACATACATGCCACCCATGAAAGATCAATTTTTAATTTTTTAACATTTTTCTGAATTCTTTTTGGACGTTCAACTTGCATTATTGAAGATCTTAGACTTTTAAACTGCTTTCGTAATACTAATGTCCGTCCCTGAAAATCCATAAGAAACCTGGAAGCATAAAAAAATTGAGATTCACGTGCCGATACAAATTTGCCTTTATATTCACTCTAATCCATTTAGATGGTCATTTATCTATTGCTCATATGTGCCAAATATTAGACTTTGCTAAAGTTTCCAGACTTTTCTAAAGGAAATGAAAAAATGTCACAAAACTAATGTTACGACCTTTAAGATAAGCAGCAGTGGAAAAAGGCCCCAGATGAAAGAAAAAAATTAAGGCAACATAAAAGTGTAAAAATTACCCGATTCCAAAGAAAAAACTATTGACTCCATTATCTAAGTGCTCCGATCAGATTACAAGCCTTCCAGGCAATCTCACCTGAGACGCTTGCTTTAGATATTACTAGACTAATTTTGCACACACGTTGAGTGCTGATAAATAAATTCGACCATGGTTTTCAAAACTTTTTTGTTGAGCTTTGACTATGAACAAAATGTATGATTTAAAATAAAGAAAAACATACTCTGTATGAAGGTAAAGATATGGGGGACAAAACTTAGAAAATGCTCTACTCTAATGATAATTTGACCAAGATTTTTGAAAGTCAGCAAGAAAGGAGATGATTTGAGCAGATGGCAGAATACAAACGATGATACGATAATCAAATGCGTTAGATTTGAAAAGTCTTACATTTCAAACTTTGCAAAATCTTCAGTGTTCGAAAAAAATGCCTCAGAAAGCCACTTAAAAGTAAATTTTATGATTTTAAATTACTCTAATTTTACGCGTATAAAACGCATGGTTTTCTTCATAAAATCGAACAGCACAGACACGCCGAGGACTTCGCGACCAAAAACTGTTTACAGTGCTGCATATTGCCTGAGAGTATCGTGCGGCATAAGTCTCGTTTCTCGAAACACAACGAGGCGGCTGAGCGGCAAGCTGAAAAAGGTGCGTCTTTACGTGTGAAATTAGGGTCGAATTATCGAATATTCATGTACTATATTAGGTCGGTGCAAAAGTTTTGTCAGTTTTTTCAGTCCATCGGCAATCAGGCTAGAATGAAGATAAACAAAGACTTCAAAATGTATCCGATGCAAAATTTCTTCCTCTTTCCAGCTGAATCCCATTGTGCTTCGTTGCGAGAGCGATGAGATATTTGCTGCAAATTACAACCACTCGTTTTTACCATGTTCAACTTTCGCTAAGTTTCAAAATTTTTGTATGAGACTTTCGAAGGAGCCCTGATAGCCAACAGATAGGGCTGACCTTTTGCCAATTTATGCAATTTTTTCTTTTTATCAGCTGCTTTTCTAGATTTTTGCTAAGTAATTTTCCAAAAGTCTTGTGTTTTGGAAAAATTGCATAACCTGTTATTGCACCAAACACCGCAAAACACACGGAAAACTGAGGTTTCAGCACATGATTACTTCTACCGCTACCATTACAAATTAAATCAGCGATTTTCGCCTCAATTTATGAAGATTTTGAAACATAGGTTACGCCTGTGCGCACTCCTGAAATTGAGAAATACTGCAATTTTCCCCACAAATTTCGCCTGTCTCGACAAAAAAGACAAGTATTAGAAAGAGGAGAAAAATCTGCATCGAATGGTGACTGAAGTGTTCAACATTTTATGTTCTACGAGATCAAAATAGGCTGGATGTATAACTTGGTCACCTCAAAAAATAAATCGTAGAAATTCTGAAAGACAAGCTATAGGGCTACAAAAAATTGCATAAGTTGGCAAAAGGTTAGCCCTTCTGCTGGTTATTTAGGCTTCTTCGAAGGTCTCATACGAAAATTTTGAAAATTAGCGAAAGTTGGACATGGTAAAAACGAGTGGTTGTAATTTGCAACGAATATCTGGTCACTCTCGCAACGAAACACAATGGTAATTTAGCAGCTGGAAAGAGGAAGAAATTCTGCATCGGATACATTTTGAAGTCTTTGTTTATCTTCATTCTAGCGTAATTGACGATGGATTGAAAAGACTGACAAAACTTTTGCACCGACCTGATATTATTGCTATCTTCTCAGATAATTTCTTGTACAGATTTTATTTTGGTGACAAAATTGCGCTTTGATTTATCAAGGCGCTCCTCACTCGTGTTGATGTAGGCAAATATGAATGACCAAAATGTTTGATCTCATGAAACTGCCGATAGTCATTTAATTTACCGTAAAAAATTTACTTTACAATATCGTACATTTATTCAAAATTTTGTAGAAAATGTCAATTAATTGCAAGTAAAAACAATTTGCTATAATGCTTGGTAAGATAAACATATTTTCAGGGCAGTGTATTTGAAGCGCATTTTAATTTTCTATTTATAATTACTCCTTTAGGTGTTTATGACAAACTTTTTATGAGCATTCGGACTCGAATGACAGATGCCCTAAAAACATCAACCATACAGAGCAGTTTGACATTATCTGAAACTAGCTGGCAAACCCGGCTCCGCCCGGCCCTGTCATTATTATATTCGTAATCAGCATGCTCGATTACCCCCCTGTGCCAACTCCCAGCCCCGTAGCTCAAATTTTGCAAAAAATCGATAAAATCGATATCGATCGATAACGAAAAGTAGCCTATGACACGCTCCCTGCCCCGAAGTATATGTGTGCCAAGTTTGGTCCAAATCGGTTCAGAAATAAAAATTTCTATTCCGCACATACGTACAGACATACAGACAGACATACAGACATTCAGCTTTATATTAGGTCGTTCCAAAAGTAATGTCGCTTTTTTCAAACGTACGCCACATTTCGTGGAACAAAGATGTGTAAGAGATTCTGGTAGCATTTGTTGCAGCATTTCATTCTCTTTCTAATGGTTGTATAACTACCGCACAAATTTGAATAACCTTTGGGAAAATTATCGGAATCTGCGACCCATGCTTTTTGAGAAGGTCAAGTTTCACAATTTTTCCAAATTTTTGTAATAACCCCCAGAAGGTGTCCAAGTTATGTATAAATAGAGCAAACCCTGCGGGAAACAGCACAACTTTTTTCTACTTTTCAGAGCTCGTCATAATTTCTGTATAGATTTTTTGATGGAACCACCGAATTTTAACAGGCTTGTCTCAGACACAAATGCATCAAACACCAATAAATCTTCGGATTTTGAAACTTACAACGATGGATTATGGTTTGACACTAATTTTACAAAGCAAATGAGCGTTTACCGCTTCAGATTAGCAATTTTCGAAAATTCCGGGTACTGCCGGAGGCGCCCTGGAAAACCTGAATTATGATGATTTTATCTCGGGAAACTTGATGAATCGCAAAACAAAAACAACTGGTAAAAAGAGGAGAAAAAGCTGCGTCGAATGACACCCGAGTTGCTTGCCGGTTGTTGTTCTGTGAGGTTTGAGTTGACCAAATATGGAATTTGGTGGCATTTTAAAACTGATTCCCGAAACTCTAAGAAGCAAGCTAAGGAAAAGAAAAAAATCATTCTGTGTCCTATAGGGTTTGCTCTATCTACCTACCACTTGCACTTCTTTGGAGAATAGGTGCAAAAATTTAGAAAAATAGCCGAACTTGACCATGGCTTAAAGCATGAGTCGCAGATTTTGGTAATTTTTCGAGACCTCGATGAATATTATGCAAAGACATCACAATCATTAGAAAGAGGATGAAATGCTGCATCGAATGCTCCTAAGATCTCTCAATAATCTTGATTCCATGAAATGTGGCGTTCATTTGAAAAAAAGCGACATTACTTTCGGAACGACCTAATATATAAGATTAATACATGTCCTAAACGCTAGTTGAAACAATTCTAACTCATTCTAGCAATCATTTTGATGCCCTCTTCGTATTCTTTTTAAGAAATAAACCGCTCTCATGACCGTGTCAGGATCCAATGATTTGTCCGAAATCGTTGCCAATAACAAAGATTCAGCACTAAATAGGCTTAATTTTCTTGTCATGAAAAAGGAGTAGCATAAGAAAGGAAGAGAGAACTGGGAGTGCAGCACCATTAAACAACAAGTATTCTCGCGTCATTTGCAACTCAATGTATGAGTCTGCACACTATGCTCGGCAACCTACGACATTTTGACTAGCGACTTCTCAGTAAAACTTTTTCTAGCGAGTAGTGAAATTGTGCTCTACTAACGCATATCCAAAAAAATTCAAAAGAGACAAAGAAACAAAGAGAAAATAGTGGAAATAAGCGTGTTCCAATCTTACAAGCCGTGAAGTAGCGTGCATGATGTGCACTACGCATACCAAGTTACAAACGACTTGACGATATGTTGTGGACTTCTGTCAATGCTTATGTTAGAATGAATGGTTACGAGTAAGCCTATAGCCGTGTCCAGGTAATGAACTTGATTTTCTTGTAAAAAGATTCTAAAGGAGTTCT